CACACACACACCACAACAACTCAGAATTCAGTCAGCCTTTTGGGTCAGTGTTCAGGTCAGGAGAGAGAGAAGCAAGTGATCAACTTTTGAACGAACAGAGAGGGGGGAGAGAAAACGAAATACAAAAACTACAAATTCTGTTGGTGGTTGACGTGTTCGTTGCTGCCTGGTTTTGTTGTTGTTGTTGAAGGTGTTGTTGTTGTTATTGTTGAAGGTGTTGTTGTTATTGTTGAAGGTGTTGTTGTTATTGTTGAGATGTTGTTGTTATTGTTGAAGTGTTGTTGTTATTGTTGAAGGTGTTGTTGTTATTGTTGAAGGTGTTGTTGTTATTGTTGAAGGTGTTGTTATTGTTGAAGGTGTTGTTGTTATTGTTGAAGGTGTTGTTGTTATTGTTGAAGGTGTTGTTGTTATTGTTGAAGGTGTTGTTATTATTTTGAAGGTGTTATTTGTTGTTATTGTTGAAGGTGTTGTTGTTGTTGTTGAAGAGTGTTGTTGTTATTGTTGAAGATGTTGTTGTTATTGTTGAAGGTGTTGTTTGTTTATTGTTGAAGAGTGTTGTTGTTATTGTTGAAGGTATTGTTGTTATTGTTGAAGGTGTTATTTGTTGTTATTTAGGTATTGTTGTTGTTGTTGTTGAAGGTGTTGTTGTTATTGTTGAAGTTGTTGTTGTTATTGTTGAAGGTGTTGTTGTTATTGTTGAAGGTGTTGTTGTTATTGTTGAAGGTGTTGTTGTTGTTGTTGGTGATTGTTGTTGTTATTGTTGAAGGTGTTGTTGTTGTTGTTGAAGGTGTTGTTGTTGAAGGTGTTGTTGTTGTTGTTGTTGAAGTGTTGTTGTTATTGTTGATGTTGTTGTTGAAAGTATTGTTGTTATTGTTGAAGGTGTTGTTGTTATTGTTGAAGGTGTTGTTTATTGTATTTGAAGTTATTGTTATTATTGTTGAAAGTGTTGTTGTTATTGTTGAAAGTGTTTTGTTATTATTTGAAGTATTTGTTGTTGAAATTGTTGTTGTTGTTATTGTTGAAGTGTTATTGTTATTGTTGAAGGGTATTTTTGTTTATTGTTGAAGGTATTTGTTGTTGTGTTGAAGGTATTGTTGTTATTGTTGAAGGTGTTGTTGTTTATTGTTGAAGGTGTTGTTGTTATTGTTGAAGGTGTTGTTATTATTGAAGTTATTATTGTTGTTATTGTGAAAGTGTTGTTGTTTGTGTTGAAAGTGTTATTATTGTTGAAGTTGTTATTTGTTGTTATTGTTGAAGGTGTTTGTTTATTTATTGTTTGAAAGGTGTTGTTGTTGTTTGTTGTTATTATTATTGAAGGTATTTGTTGTTATTTTGAAAGTGTTGTTATTTATTGATTTAAAAGTGTTGTTGTTATTGTTATTTGTTTATTGAAAGGTGTTGTTGTTATTGTTGAAGGTGTTGTTGTTATTATTGAAGATGTTTGTTATTGTTGATATTGTTGTTGTTGTTATTGTTGGAAGGTGTTGTTATTGTTGAAAGGTGTTGTTGTTGTTGTTGTTGTTATTATTTGAAGGGTGTTGTTGTTATTGTTGAAGTGTTGTTGTTATTTGTTGTTATTATTTGAAGGTGTTGTTATTGTTGAAGTTGTTGTTGTTATTGTTGAAGGTGTTGTTATTGTTGAAGGTGTTGTTGTTATTGTTGAAGGTGTTGTTGTTGAAGGTGTTGTTGTTGTTGTTGAAGGTGTTGTTGTTATTGTTGAAGGTATTGTTGTTGAAGGTTTTTTGTTATTGTTGATGTTGTTGTTATTATTTTGAAGTTATTGTTGTTGTTATTAGAGAATTTATTGTTATTATTGAAGTTAATTATTTGTTGTTATTATTTGAAGGTGTTGTTGTTGTTGTTGAAAGTGTTGTTGTTATTGTTGAAGGTGTTGTTGTTATTATTGAAGGTGTTATTATTATTGTTAAAGTTGTTATTGTTATTATTGTTGAAGGTGTTGTTGTTTATTTTGAGATTGTTGTTATTATTATTTAGAAGGTGTTGTTGTTGTTGTTGTTATTATATATTGTTGATTGTTGTTGTTGATACTGTTGTTGTAGTTGTTGAGAAGGTGTTGTTGTTGTTGTTATTGTTGTTTGTTATAGAGTGTCAAATTGGCGGTGTGGGACAACATTCTCTCTGAACAGAGATAAAATCAAAAGTGAATCAGGAGAAAGTTTGGAGAGTGGTTGGTTATTCATGGGGAATATGTTTGAGGGGTAACTGTAGGGGTGTGTGTGTGTGTGTGGGGTGTGTTGAGGGGTGGTGTGTGTGTGGGGGTGTGGTATTTGTGTGTGTGTGTGGTGTGTGGGGAGGGTGTGTGTGTGGGGGTGTGTGTGGGGGGGTGTGTGTGGGGGGTGTGTGTGGAGTTGTGTGTGTGGGGGTGTGTGTGGGGGTGTAGTGTGGTGTGTGTGGGGGGTGTGTGTGTGGTTTTTATTTTGATTTTGCGCCTGTGGCTTCTTTATGCACCCCACACACTCTCATCCTGTGAGCAGTAGCACCAAGGATACAAGTAGGGTTACAAAGGGGTCATAATAAATGCTTGATTTGTCAGGATATTATAGCACCGAAAGTTACACAATATTTCATTTACATTATTTGTTTAGTTCTATACATAGAGGGTAACTTATTCACCGTGCGTGAGAACAGGCGTGTGAGCAGTATATCTGGCCTCACACTTTATTCACATTTGAGAGGTATTTAAGCATTGTGTATTTGGTTCTGTACATGAGAACTTGATATGATTACTGAGTGCAAGTGATGCAATCCTTAATATGTCAGCTATCTTACCATTAAGATGAAATGTGTGGGGTGTGTAGTGTGTGAGGGTGTGTGTGCAGTGTGTGTGAGGTGTGTGTGGGGGTGTAGTGTGGGTGTGTGTGTTGGGGGGTGTGGGGGGTGTGTGTGTGCGTGGGGTGTGGGGTGTGTGTGGGGGGTGTGAGGGGGTGTCATGGGGGGTGTGTGTGGGGGGGGTGTGGGGTGTAGTGTGGAGTGTGTGTGTGGGGGGGGTGTGTGTGTGTGGGGGTGTAGTGTGGGTGTGTGTGTGTGTGTGGGGGGTGTGGGGTGCTGCGTGGGGGGTGGGGGGGTGTGTGTGTGTGTCAAGACTATAGCAGGAGAGAAAATGGAATTAGGAATCACACGTTAAAATATACAAACAAAAGATCAGAGGTGATGTTGCTTCATGTTGCAGGATTAAAGAGTGATGTTGCTTCATGTTTCAGGATTAAAGAGTGATGTTGCTTCATGTTGCAGGATTAAGGTGATGTTGCTTCATACAGGTTGAGTGATGTTGCTTCATATTACAGGATTAAGAGTGATGTTGCTTCATATTACAGGATTAAAGTGATGTTGCTTTGTTTGCAGGATTAAGTGATGTTGCTTCATATTGCAGATTAAAAGTGATGTTGCTTCATATTACAGGTAAGTGATGTTGCTTCATTGGGATTAAAGAGTGATGTTGCTTATTGATTAAGTGATGTTGCTTCATATTGCAGGATTAAGTGATGTTGCTTTAGGATAAAGTGATGTTGCTTCATATTACAGGATTAAAGAAGTGATGTTGCTTCATGTTGCAGGATTAAAAGTGATGTTGCTTCATTTTTAGGATTAAGAGTGATGTTGCTTCATATTGCAGGATTAAAGTGATGTTGCTTCATGTTGCGGATTAAAGGGGGATGTTGCTTCATGTTGCAGGATTAAAAGTGATGTTGCTTCATATACAGTATTAAAGTGATGTTGCTTCATGTTGCAGGATTAAGAGTGATGTTGTTTCATGTTGCAGGATAAAAGTGATGTTGCTTCATGTTGAGGACTAAAGAGTGATGTTGCTTCATGTTGGAGGATTAAAGTGATGTTGCTTCATGTTGCAGGATTAAAGAGTGATGTTGCTTCATATTACAGTATTAAAAAGTGGTGTTGCTTCATGTTCCAGGATTAAAGAGTGATGTTGTTTCATGTTGCAGGGATAAAGTGATGTTGCAAGACTAAAGAGTGATGTTGCTTCATGTTGGAGGATTAAAGTGATGTTGCTTCATGTTGCAGGATTAAAAGAGTGATGTTGCTTCATGTTGGAGGATTAAAAGTGATGTTGTTTCATGTTGCAGGATTAAAGTGATGTTGCTTCATGTTTTTAGGATTAAGAGTGATGTTGCTTCATGTTGCAGTATTAAAGAGTGATGTTGCTTCATGTTGGAGGATTAAAGAGTAATGTTGCTTCATGTTGGAGGATTAAAGAGTAATGTTGCTTCATATTGCAGGACTAAAGTGATGTTGCTTCATATTTCAGGACTAAAGTGATGTTGCTTCATGTTGGAGGATTAAGTGATGTTGCTTCATGTTGCAGGATTAAAGAGTGATGTTGCTTCATGTTGGAGGATTAAGAGTAATGTTGCTTCATATTGCAGGACTAAGAGTGATGTTGCTTCATATTACAGGACTAAAAGTGATGTTGCTTCATGTTGGAGGTTTAAAGTGATGTTGCTTCATATTGCAGGACTAAAAAGTGATGTTTGCTTCATGTTGGAGGATTAAGAGTATTAGCTATATTTGCAAGACAAAAGAGTGATGGTGCTTCATATTGCAGGATTAAAAAGTGATGCTGCTTCTTATTACAGGATTAAAGAGTGATGTTGTTTCATGTTGGAGGATTAAAAGTGATGTTGCTTCATGTTGGAGGATTAAGTGATGTTGCTTCATATTACAGGACTAGAGAGTGATGTTGCTTCATGTTGGAGGACTAAAGTGATGTTGCTTCATATTACACGATTAAAGGGTGACGTTGTTTCATGTTGTAGGATTAAAGAGTAATGGTATGATTAAGTGATGTTGCTATGTTACAGAATTAAGAGTGTCAGTACAGCAAATTACAGATACATGTACAGTACAAGAGTTTCATGAATAAAACACAAAACAAGAACCTTGAAATTCAACACTGATCTATGTAGTGGCGAGTGTGTTGCAGCTGTAGGAGTACTGGTGTTGTAGCTGTAGGGGGACTGGTGTTACAGCTGTAGGAGTACTGGTGTTGTAGCTGTAGGGGGACTGGTGTTACAGCTGTAGGGGGACTGGTGTTGCAGCTGTAGGAGTACTGGTGTTGTAGCTGTAGGGGGACTGGTGTTACAGCTGTAGGGGGACTGATATTGTCGCTGTAGGGGACTGGTGTTGTGGCTGTAGGGGACGTGTTGTGGCGCTGGGGACTGGTGTTGTAGCTGTAGGGGGACTGGTGTTGCAGCTGTAGGGTACTGGTGTTGTGGCTGTGGGGGGACTGGTGTTGCAGCTGTGGATGCTGGTGTTGTGGCTGTGGGACTGGTGTTGTGGCTGTGGGGGGACTGGTGTTGTGGCTGTGGGGGACTGGTGTTGTAGCTGTAGGGGGACTGGTGTTGTTTGGCAGCTGTGGGGGGGACTGGTGTTGTGGCTGTGGGGGACTGGTGTTGTGTGGCTGTGGGGGGACTGGTGTTGCCAGCTGTGGGGGGACTGGTGTTGTGGCTGTGGGGGGACTGATGTGTCGCTGTGGGGGGACTGGTGTTGTGGCTGTGGGGGACTGGTGTTGTAGCTGTGGGGGGACAGATTGTTGTAGTAGGGGGACTGGTGTTGCTAGCTGTAGGGGACTGGTCTTTTGTGGCTGTGGGGGGACTGGTGTTGTGGCTGTGGGGACTGGTGTGTTGTATGGGGGACTGGTGTTACTGTGGCTGTAGGGGACTGGTGTGTTACAGCAGTAGGGGACTGGTGTTGTAGATGTGGGGGGACTGGTGTTGTGGCTGTGGGGACTGGTGTTGTAGCTGTGGGGACTGGTGTTGCAGCAGTGGGGGGACTGGTGTTAGCCAGCTGTGGGGGACTGGTGTTGTTGTGGCTGTAGGGGACTGGTGTTGTAGCTGTGGGGGGGGGACTGGTGTTGTCGCTGTAGGGGGACTGGTGTTGTAGCTGTAGGGGGGACTGGTGTTGGTGGCTGTGGGGACAGGGTGTTGTGGCTGGCAGGGGGACTGGTGTTACAGCAGTAGGGGGACTGGTGTCTCTAAGCTGACACTAAGCCAGCAGAGAGCAAGAGCATAATGCCCTCACCTACCTGAACCACACACACCTGGCTCACGAGTGACAGGATAATCAGCAGAGTGCAAACGGCAGTAAGTGAGAAGAGGAGTAACAGGAAGAGGAGTAAGAGGAACAGGAAGAGGAACAGGAGGAGGAGGAAGAGTAGGAGGAGGAGCAGCAAGAGAAGGAGGAGGAGGAGAAGGAGCAACAGCAAGAGGGGAAGCAAAAGGAGGAGGACAAGAGGAGGAGGAGAAGGAGGAACAGGAGGAGCAAGAGGAGGAGGATGATACAATGAAGAAATATGGGAATTATACCGACCTGAGACGTGAAGGTGTGTAAGGAGTGTGTGAGGAGTGTGTGAGGAATGTGTGAGGAGTGTGTGAGGAATGTGTGAGGAGTGTGTGAGGAATGTGTGAGTGTGTAAATAGAATGTGAGAAGTGAATGTAAGGAGAGTGCGAGGCGACAGTGTGTATGTGTGTGTTTGTGTGAGAGAAGAATGTTGTGTTGTCAAAGTAAGAGAAACAATTGAGACCCTGCATTTGTGTGTAAATGAGGCAGAAAGTCAGTCACAATTTTCGTGATGCCATATAGCAGCAGGGTCTACCATTAGACAACACATTATGCTTCCAATATCTTCCCAGGCGGTAGTACCTCCCTGTTTGATAGCTGCCTACTACCAAGCATCCGTTTAACGTGCATCCACTTAACGGACATCCGATTAACATAGATCCGATTAACATTGAAACTTTTAAACTACTGCATCCGGTTGAGATACAATTTCTCCCTTCAAAATACTATATTAAACGAGGGGTGTGTGTGTGTGTGTGTGTGTGTACAGACAGACTCGTGAGCACCATCCTCTCCCACCACAGTCCTGGGAAAACACCTCACCTTATTGCCACTAATGACTTCCTCTGACAGCCCCGCCTCATGGTCCGCTGGTTATGTCCCGCCTCACAGCTCAATACCTGACTGTGTGTGCCGAGGTGGTGAAGGCCGGACGATTTATTGCTATGATGTAATAGTTGAGCCTTTAGATAGTTACTGGATGGGCAGTCTCTCACTCTCTCTCTCTCTCGTGTGTGTGTGAGAGAGAGAGAGAGGGGGGGGGGAAGGTAGGTAGGTGGGGGGTGTAAGGTACAGCAGCTATCCGTCACGTCGGCTAGGGTATTGTTGTTGCCTTTGTGTTTTCATACTTTACCGCCACCACTTGCTACTTCCTGTGAACCTCCGCGCCCCACTCCCTCCACCTCACTCTACTCCTGTTGTTGCTGTTGGTGCTGCTGCTGCTGTCTCTGATGCTGCTGTTGTCGCTGTTGGTGCTGCTTCTATTAATTCCGGGGCACTCCTCAGTATCCGGTGGTAGGAAGTCTTGCTATTCCCGCGACGACGAATTTGCTGCGGGTGTTGGTGTTTCTCCCTCAATGGTGTGCTTGTTGCCGCCTCCAGGTCACCGTTGCGTGCCGCCGTTGACTGCACCAAGTCTCAGTGGCCAGCGTATGATAAGCTAATCACTGTCCTTATTGTTGTTGTTGTTGTTGTTACTGCTGCTACTGTACTTGATGCTGTTATTGTTGATGTTGATGCTCTTGTTGTTGGTGTCGTTTTGTTGTTGTTGTTGTTGCTGTTGCTGTTTTGCTGTTGCTGTTGTTGTTTTGTTGTGGTTACTGCTGCTGCTACGGTTATTGCTACTGCTCCAGCGACGTAAATTGTGTCGGTCCAGCGGCTTCAGGAGCAGTGGATGAGCGGGAGCTAGAGCCTTGAGTACGGCGACCAGCAGCCCGGAGGAGACGTACGTGTGTGTGTGTGTGTGTGTGTGTGTGTGACAGACAATTAATAGAGAAAATAGATGCAGAAATAGATAAACAGACAGAATAAAAAGCGAAAACAGAGAGGCGAATAAAAGAGAGAGAGAGAGAGAGAGAGAGAGAGAGAGAGAGAGAGAGAGAGCGTTTGCATATAACTCCATTGCAGAGGCAGGGGGCAGAATTAATTCAGGTCCCATTGTCCACCCCCCTCCCCCCCTCGCTCACAGCTCCTTCACTCTGCTGTATTTCGTAGTCGTAAGGACGGCGGTGGAGGTAATGGGTGTACACACACACACACACACAACACACACACACACACACACACAAAACACACACACACACAAAATCTTAAAATATCACAAGTTTAACAGCTACACCAAAAATACGATACTGGATTTATTCAGAGAGGACCTTTAATAGAAACCCTGACATTTAGAACAATTTACCCCTCACAGAACCCTAAGAATTTAGAACACCAACAAAAAATCATATTCACAGGTAAAACCCCATTTAATTATTATCATTGTTTACAAAAGTTTGGGACTGAGTGAAGATTGGGTGAAGTATTTACAGAGTGGGGAGGTCGGCCGGGTTCACTGACCTAAATCAACACACATGTAAAAAAAGATAATGAACTTAAAATAAACAGAATAAATAAATAGAAAATATTAAAAAAACAAGTATAATAAACTTAAAATAAACAGAATAAATAAATAACAGAAAATACTTAAAAAAACAAGTATAATGAACTTAAAATAAACAGAATAAATAAATAATAGAAAATATTAAACAAAAACAAGTATAATAAACTTAGAATAAATAGAAAATAATAAAAAGCCATAAAAATACATTTCAAGACCGATAGAGCCCAGGTGTTCCCGACAGCTTTAACGTAAACAACATGAATGGCGGGATGAGAGGTAGGGGGGAGGAGGAGGAGGCAACAAGCGAGATGAAGGACTACTACCACCACCACCGAACACAGCACAATACCACCACATCCTCTTTCACCATCACCACCACTACAACTATCTACACCATCTCCACCACCTCTACCACTACTACCATCTCCACCTTCTCTACCACAACCACCCCCACCACCACCACCACGCCACATATTGCTCGGGCTGTACAAAACAATGTCAATTAAAACTGATCCGTTGCGGCGTCTGAGTGGCGCTGCTTCTGGTGATGGAGGGAGGGAGGGAGGGAGGGAGGGAGAGGGCTGCCAGCTGATGGGTGAGAGGACTATATATGACGCACCGCTGGGAGAGAGAGGGGAGGGAGGGTTCGTACATAAGCGTAGAGAGAGAGAGATTACAGGAGCTCTGGACTAAGTTTGGTATACGGCGATCTTTAAGAAAAATGTCTAGATAGTTAATGGGTATAGGAGCCAACTGCCTCTCTTCCACTTCTTTTCCTCTTCTTTTCTTCTTCTTTTCTTTCTCCTCTCTGGTCAATTACCTCGAGACCGCACACACACACACACACACACACACACACACACACACACACACACACACACTGGTGGACTTCTTGCACTTTCGAGTCTTAGTGTGATAGACCAGACACACAACACCCAAGGGAGGAGGACGAGGGGGAAGGGAGGAGGACGAGGGGAAGGGGAGGAGGACGAGGGGGAAGGGGAGGAGGGCGAGGGGGGGAGGGGACGAGGGAGGGAGGGGAGAGGGGAGGGGAGGGGGGAGGGGAGGAGGATGAGGGGGGGGGAGGGGGAGAGGGGGGAGGGAGGAGAGGGGAGGGGGACGAGGGGGGAGGGGGAGGGGGAGGGTGAGGGGGGAGGGGGGGAGGGAGGAGGGAGGGGGGGAGGGAGGAGGACGAGGGGGGGAGGAGGAGAGGAGGACGAGGGGGAGGGGAGGAGGACGAGGGGGAGGGGAGGAGGAGACGAGGGGGAGGGGAGGAGAGAGGGGAGGGGACGAGGGGGGAAGGGGAGAGAGAGACGAGGGGAAGGGAGGAGAGGGAGGGGAGGAGGAGGGGAGGAGGGAGGAGGAGGACGAGGGGGAGGGAGGGGAGGACGAGGGGGAGGGGGGGAGGACGAGGGGGGGGGAGGAGGACAGGGGGAAGGGGAGGACGAGGGGAAGGGGAGGGAGGAGAGGGGGGAGGAGAGGAGGAGAGGGGGAAGGGGAGGAGGAGAGGGGGGGGAAGGGAGGGAGGAGGACGAGGGGGGAAGGGGAGGAGGAGGACGAAGGAGGAAGAGGGGAAGGGAAGGAGGACGAAGGGGGGAAGGGGAGGGGACGAGGGGGAGGGGAGGAGGACGAGGGGGAAGGAGGGGAGGGGGAGGGAGGGGAGGAGGGGGAGGGGAGGGGGGGAGGGGAGAAGGGGAGGAGGACGAGGGGAGGAGAGGAGGACGAGGGGGAGGAGAGGGGGACGAGGGGGGAGGAGGAGGACGAGAGGGGGGGAGGAGGACGAGAGGGAGGGGGGAGGAGGACAGGGGAAGGGGAGGGGACGAGGGGGGAGGGAGGAGGACGAGGGGAGGGGAGGAGGACGAGAGGAGGGAGAGGACGGGGGGAAGGGGAGGGAGGGAGAGGGAGGAGGGAGGGGAGGAGGAGGACGAGGGGGAAGGGAGGGGACGAGGGGAAGGGGGACGAGGAAGGGAGAGGGAGGAGACGAGGGGAAGGGGAGGAGAGACGAGGGGGAAGGGAGGAGAGACGAGGGGAAGGGAGGAGAGACGAGGGGAAGAAGGAGAGACGAGGGGAATGGGAGGAAAATGAATGGAAGGAGAACAGGAGGAAGAGGAAGCAAACACAACCAATGTTAGCTATAGAATCATTATCTATTTTATGCTATCTACCTTAACACGCATCCACTCTGTATTTTGCTGTGTTAAATAGGGAGAATGATGCCACACACACACACACACCCCCACACACCCTCCCCCCCACACCCCCACCCACACACACCCCACCCACACACACTCCCCCCACCCACACACACCCACACACCCCCCACCCACACACCCCACCCCCACCCACCACACCCCCACACACACCCCCACCCACACACTCCCCACACCCACACACCCCCACCCACACACTCCCCCACACACACACCAGTTTGAGGTCACTAATAACACACACTCACTACCAACAGCCATTACCGAGGCTCACTAAACACGTAATACCTTTTTCATACTCATTTCCCCACCACAGCCCGTCAGGTAAATACGATAACTGATTCTCGCGGTAATTGCATCATGGTGCTGAAAGACGAAAACTCGTGGAGAGAATAACACAAACACCGAAAATTACGAGAAAAAAATATATCGAAAACTCTGAAAACAAAAGCCCAAAAAAAAAAAATCAGAAAAAATGAAACATCGAAAACTCCGAAAACAGGTCAGGTCAGGTTAACTAAAATACAGGCAGTAAGATTCGTATAAATGATGTTTACAAATATGATTTTCATTGACAGACAAATAAAAACTAAAAAAACAAAATAAAAACTATAGACGGCACCTTGACTGTCAAAAGATAGCCTAAGTATTTTTCTCTTATCAATCATAGTGCGACACTTTGTTGACACCAGACGCAAAATTACGTAATACGAAACATTATATTAAGGACGATGACCTTCTCAAGTTTGTTAAATATCACAATGAATTAATTTATGTATTTATAGCAGAGAGAAAGAGAGAAAGTTAAGAGAGAGAGAGAGAGAGAGAGAGAGAGAGAGAGAGAGAGAGAGAGAGAGAGGAGAGGAGCTGATGAGTTAGATCCCCCGGCACTGTGTCAAGGGTGAGGGAAGGGTGATTGGGGGGGCCAAGGGTGAGGAAGGGTGACTGGGAGGGGCTGGTCAAGGGTGAGGAAGGGTGACTGGGAGGGGCTGGTCAAGGGTGAGGAAGGGTGACTGGGAGGGGCTGGTCAAGGGTGAGGAAGGGTGACTGGGAGGGCTGGTCAAGGGTGAGGAAGGGTGACTGGGAGGGCTGGTCAAGGGTGAGGAAGGGTGACTGGGAGGGGCTGGTCAAGGAGGAGGAGGTCAGGGTATGTCAGCCTTGTGAGTGGAGGTCAGTATATCTCAAGCGGCCAATGCGGAGGGGGGTGGGGCGTCCTCATCACTATGGCCCAGGAGAAATTTATGGGTCTACATCACTCTTTTGTCTGCTTCTCTATCTACCTCATTCCCTTCCTCCTCTCTCCCTCTCTCTCTCTTTCTCCTCTCTCTCTCTCTCTCTCTCTCTCTCTCTCTCTCTCTCTCTCTCTCTCTCTCTCTCTCTCTCTCTCTCTCTCTCTCTCTCTCTCTCTCTCTCTCTCTCTCTCCGTCCTTCCATACCCTCTTACCTCACTACCTGACCCTCTTTCACCCCTGGAATCTGGATGGCTGACCTCCCTTACACCTGAAGGCCGGGCGGCTAACCTCCCTCATACCCTGGAGGGAGAATACAGAGCTAGAGGCCGGGTGGCTGACCTCCACGTTTGGTATGCAATATCTCACCAGCTTCAAGGTGGGTAAAGTTATCAGCCCTGGAAAAACTGGAGCTCCGCATTTTCAAGATTCTGCGGAGAAAATCGCCCGTCTGGATTACAGAGAGAGAGAGATAGAGACAACGAGAGATGAGGAGAAAGTCAGACAAAGAGATAGAGAAAGCAAAGACAAAGAGAAATAAAGAGACTTTTTTTCATACACCCGGAGCAACGTGGTGTTCTAAATATCATAATCAACATCTCCTCTACGTAATAACATAAAAAAAATAATTTAACACCATCACCTGGAGTTCATTTAATACATATAATTGTATCCATAATTGATTTCTCCTGTTTTGTAGATGATAAATAATTAATACTGGATAGGTTTGGCAACCTCATTACATCCGCCAGCAGTGATTAATTATACAGTGGAGTCTCCTAAGCACTGTCCCAAACTGTCGTACTGCTCCAAGATCCAGGTTTAGGACTGGCCATAAGAGAGGCCAAAATAAATATATATAACTTAGTGTATTACGAGTACAAGTGTTAGTGCCAAGTGAAATATAGATGACTGACTGATGACGTCACGCGTAGGTACAGGTCTAGTTTAACCCTTGAGGATGATGTTTTAACCCTTTGAGGACGTTGGTTAACCCTTTAAGGACGATGTTTTAACCCTTTAAGGACGTTGGTTTAACCCTTAGGACGTTGGTCAACCGTTTAAGGATGATGTTTTAACACCAAGGACGTTGGTTAAAAACTCTTTGAGGACGTTGGTTAACCCTTTAAGGATGATGTTTTAACCCCTTGAGAGCGATGGCTTGACACTTTGAGGACTTTTACTGCCCTCCAAGGCTTAAAGGATTATATACAGTGTGTCTCCAAAAATATATAGATAAACTCGCTGCCTTGTATATTTTTGTGGACAAACGTCAGTATATGATGAGAAACTGACTAAACATATTTTTAAAAGTTCGTAAGAAAAAACTGTAGATAACAATTTCATATAACATACAAATTCGTTATACTAAATAGCTTACCTGCCATTAGAGAGTATTCACCCCAATATAACTCATGTATTTCGTGAGTATAAGATGTATACATAGGGATATACACAGTGTGTATATATAAATTCCTGTATGCATTCATCCTGTCAGTGTAAACCAGGTATTTCGCTAGATTTCATGGCTGTGAACACTTAATTAGAATAACCAATAAGAATATACTTAACACACGTATATTTCACTAGAATTTCATCATGTTCACAGAAATTAGTTTACAAGTCCACACACACACACTGACCACAAACTGGACTGAAGGCCCATGTAAACAACACAATCAAGGCAGCCTCATACCGACTCTACATGCCACGACGACTCAGGTCACTGCGGAACCACGCCAGAGCTGACTATCTACAGCATTATTCTCCCAAAATTAACATGCGTCACCAGCCTGATCGTCTTCTCTCAACTCTACAACCACGTCCTATAGAAGGTACAGAAGAGGGCCTGCAGAATCATGCTCGGTGCAGACTACTCCGGCTACAACAACGCTCTCTCCACCCTGGAGATGCCATCCCCAAGTGACCTCCACCACCACGCACTAGCAAGGTTTGGCAGTGGAATACTGCACCATCCTCGTCATCGCCACCTACCACCTGCAGTGCCCGCTACCTCGCGCAGTCCGCCACAAAGTTCAGCCCATAAGAGCCCACATTGATATATATATATATATATATATATATATATATATATATATATATATATATATATATATATATATATATATATATATATATATATAAGAATCGCACCATCCCACCTATTGTTAAAATAATAAACAGCTCCTGATATATGTACTGTACAGCCCTGTAAATGTATTGAACGTATATCATTATGTCTAAATCACATGTAAGTTTGTATATTTTCAGCCACCGGCTGCAACTCTATTAAAAAACCGTTCATTATTATTTTTACACACACACACACACACACACACAAAACAATCTCATAACCCGACGATAAAATTCTCAGGTGAACTTAACGACAATAAATCTCACCTGTAATTAACAACATTAAAAAGCCACTCAGGTAGAATCTCCTCGGAAAACATCCAACATGGCGTCATAACTACAGTGAGACTCTACCGTACACCCAGACTATAACTTTCCCAATATTGTTCGTTCAATTCTGTGTTTTTAATTCATCTTATCTTCAGGAAATAGTTCTTCCCCGTGTAGCTTATATACCCCGTTGTGTGTATGTCCGTATAATGGTGTGTATAGAGTATGTCCGTATAATGGTGTGTATAGAGTATGTCCGTATATTGGTGTGTATAAAGTATGTCCGTATAATGGTGTGTATAAAGTATGTCCGTATAATGGTGTGTATAGAGTATGTCCGTATAATGGTGTGTATAGAGTATGTCCGTATAATGGTGTGTAATAAGTATGTCCGTATAATGGTGTGTATAAAGTATGTCCGTATAATGGTGTGTGTGTATAAAGTATGTCCTCGTATAATGGTGTGTATAAAGTATGTCCGTATAATGGTAAGTTTAAAGTATGTCCGTATAAATGTGTGTGTGTATAAAGTATGTCCGTATAATGGTGTAATAAGTATGTCCGTATAATGGTGTAAAGTATGTCCGTATAATGGTGTGTGTGTGTATAGAGTATGTCCGTATAATGGTGTGTATAAAGTATGTCCGTATAATGGTGTTTAAAGTATGTCCGTATAATGGTGTGTATAAAGTATGTCCGTGTATAATGGTGTGTATAGAGTATGTCCGTATATTGGTGTGTATAAAGTATGTCCGTATAATGGTGTGTATAAAGTATGTCCGTATAATGGTGTGTATAAGTATGTCCGTATAATGGTGTGTATAGAGTATGTCCGTATATTGGTGTGTATAGAGTATGTCCGTATAATGGTGTGTATAGAGTATGTCCGTATAATGGTGTGTATAGAGTATGTCCGTATATGGTGTGTATAATGTATGTCCGTATAATGGTGTGTATAGAGTATGTCCGTATATTGGTGTGTATAGAGTATGTCCGTATAATGTGTATAAAGTATGTCCGTATAATGGTGTGTATAAGTATGTCCGTATAATGGTGTGTATAGAGTATGTCCGTATAATGGTGTGTATAAAGTATGTCCGTATAATGGTGTGTATAAAGTATGTCCGTATAATGGTGTGTATAGAGTATGTCCGTATAATGGTGTGTATAGAGTATGTCCGTATAATGGTGTGTATAGAGTATGTCCGTATATTGGTGTGTATAAAGTATGTCCGTATATTTTGGTATTTATGTAGGAGTATTTTAATAGTCTTGTGGAGTTCACGGATAGGATGATAATTATAATTTCATAATGGTCCATAATTACTACAATTAACATATATTTGGAATATTACTAAACTAAATAATTAGAACGATTAACAGGTGTTTGGGAATTCTACTAATTTGATTACTGATTAATTAATAGATAATTAGGCACTTAGGCCGGTGTGTTGCAGGTAATAAGAGCTACTTTTATCGTGTATATATTTTGGTGATTTAATGCTACGATTTGTCTTTTATATTTATTAAATTTCGTGTTAGGTTAGGTTAGGTTAGGTTAGGTTAGGTTAGGTTAGGTTAGGCCAGGTTAGGTTAGGTTAGGCTAGGGTTAGTTTAGTTTAGGTTAGGTTAGGTTAGGTTAGGTTAGGTTAGGTTAGGTTAGGTTGTGTTGGTACGGGTGTTCTGCTATTCTCATTAACACACTAAAAAATAAAAGTAGAATTATCTTTTCTCAGGCAGGCAGGCAGAGAGAGAGAGAGAGAGAGAGAGAGAGAGAGAGAGAGAGAGAGAGAGAGATTAGGTTTTGAAACACAGACTTTTATTTTACATTTTGCAACTTACACGCACACACACGCACGAACACACACACCGATTATACACCTTTTGCAACATACAGTACAAATCAATTCATTCCTGCAACATGTACAGCTCCCCTTTGCAACAGGTATTTACATACTGTAGATTAATTGCAACAACAAAATAATCACAGGTAACTACTCATTATTTTCCCCGACGTGTTGAGGGTGACCAACATCCTGTAATTAAATTTGTCGTCGTATTTTATTCCACCATTTGTAAAGAGGCAAAACTACCCAACAATCACGATACAATGCGCAATCACGAGACAATGCGCAATCACGAGACAATGCGCAATCACGAGATAATGCGCAATCACGAGACAATGCGCAATCACGAGACAATGCGCAATCACAAGACAATGCGCAATCACGAGACAATGCGCAATCACGGGGCGAATGAAACCAATACATAATAACAATATCGAAAAAAATAATAATTCAATTTGGTTAATTTAACGTCAAAAATTGCCACCACCAATTTGCTCTTAATATCGGACGAAATAAATTGGTTGACATACAATATATATATATTTAGTAGTATGGGAATATTATTTGTTGTTTAACGTGTACTGATAAATACTTGTTTGTGGAGAGTACAATTTGCGTCGTGTGAGAGAGAGAGAGAGAGAGAGAGAGAGAGAGAGAGAGAGAGAGCCAGTGGGAGGTAATAGCCTCAATCACCCAATCTCACCCAAGAGGGATTACAACCGACGACTCCAGCTCTAATCTTCTCACAGCCTCACAAATCTTTTCCAATCCACACACACACACACACACACACACACACACACACACACTTCATCCTTGACCACCGAAGGGTCAAGACGTACCTGGCGCTCC